TTTATTTATTTATTTATTTATTTATTTATTTATTTATTAAAAGAAATCATCAGAGGCTATTATACATGACTGCAATCACCCCTAATGTGCATAACAATTCAAGTACCACCTCCTCAAGCCAGTTGTGTCAGAAGAGATATGAACTCCCGACTTAAAGGATCTTATACCGTGGATGTCAACCAACAGGCTGAGATACACAACAACATTTTGAGGAAAAAATATTCAAACTTGGATTAAAAGCCGACCATAAGTCTAATTTCAGCAAACTTACAGTAAAATTGATCGGTTCAACAGGCCCAATCTGAACAAAATCAAGTACCGATCAAGATGTTACATTGCTTTTGGAAGCTTTCCAGACATATTTAAAAATGTTAAAATGATGTTGAATCTAGCGAGTTTATGATCGAATCGAGTAACTCGACAATACGAATACAATGAGCTCAGTATCGCTAGATTATGACATCATTAAGACACTCAAATATTCATTAAACGTCGTGTGATTAAAAGAAGACCTCAAATCCGTTTGATCAAATTGGTTTGTATTTTTGCATTAATTGCACCCACAAATCTATAAATTGAGTTAATTCCTCTCATGAAGGAGGAGAGAGATTGAGACTTGAGGAAGAACTTGAAGCATTGAGAGTAAGTTGAAGTTCAACATAATTAATGTTGTCGTCGACCACCGCTAACCACCGTCGATCACTGTCGACCACCATCTGCTGGTCGTTGTCGATCGCTATCGTTCACCCCCAGTAGCTTACAACAAATTATCCGCGAGCTGACTTTGTAACGAGGGAGACCTTCCAGCACTTTTCTACTTGTGGGATGAGCAGTTGTAACTGTAATCATCATTTTATAATGAAATTCTTTAGGTGGGCTATGCATCGTGGTTTTTCACTTTACGAGTTTTTCATATAAGAACTTTTGATGTTTTTACTGGTTATTTTATTTCATCAAAGTGTATGCTGATTTCTCATGCAACACTAAGATATTATCATCATTTTACCTTCATGAATTAACTAGCGTCCATCAATGAATAGTATATGACTGTAAAAATTTGATTTATCTAATGGGAAATTGGCTATTTATTATTTTTATAATTTTTGCTTTATTATTTAGAGAACAAAACGGAAAGTGACTTTCCATTTTTAATCATTAAATTTAAATCATCCAAATCTTTTATTTCACATAAAAAATACCATCACTTTAGTTGTCGGGATTCACATCAAAGTGCTGCAACCATACCTCAACAAAGTAAGCCTCTATCTTATTGTTACAGAACAATAACATCCATGCCAGTTCAAAAATCACCAATGGCTTGCGTTCTTCATTATATTTTTTCTTTCCTATTCTCATTAAGCTTTGGTTGAGTAACAAAGGAAAAAGATAGAGAAAAAGATTTTGACAATCAAGGATATGAAGTTAGTCATGTTCTGCATGGCCGACCAAGAAAGGGGCTCGATCCATACACATCCAGATCAAATATCATTCCACCTCGACATATAAGACGTCAGCATGCTGAATTTTTTATTTCAATGCTATGTAACCAAGGCTTTATGAGTTTTTAATTAATTTATTATATGTTTGAATAATTCTAATATCTAAAAATAATAATATAGAAAAGTATATATATATTTTAAATATTTTACTATGATATTAAATTATTATTTTCATTTAAATCATTTCTTGTACCTAAAAATAGTAAAAATATATACATTTTATTATAATTATAAAAATAATAATGATATTAAATTATTGTTTGTGTTCGACTCGCGTTCGGCTCGAAATAGACTCGGTATAATATAAATGGCCGCACAATCGCGTCAATAATACCGCGGACGGCGAATAGCACAATAACACCCGCAATAACACATGAGTAACACTCAAATAGCACAGGTGTTATTGAGTGTTGTTCCATGGTGTTATTAGTGTTATTAGAGTTTTAATATGGTATTATAATACCGCAAAAATAGCAGAATTGATTAATAAATTAGTATATAGAAAGATTTATAAGTTTGTATGAGTGTACTATTTAATATGCATCTTTTCACTATTATTAACAATTACTTCGTTAGCCGCCTGGTATGTAGTTTGGGAACAAATTTCTTCTTCTGGGAAATCTGAGATCACTTGCTAGGCAGGGATGAGAACCCACCGGGTAAAAAAGACAGGTATTTGCGACTAAAAATTAATACAATCCATTAATAGCTCATCCGTTTAAATTCTATTGCTCTTTGGCCTTCCCCCTTCTCTATTTCGGCCTTTCACCTCCAAAAAAAAAAAAAAAAACATTTAAAAATATATAATAATAAAAATAAATAAAGTCTATTTCCATATTTTTCTGCTAGAGAAAATGTCATAATTTTGGCATCACTCGCATTTTTATCCGATGTGTTCTACATATTGATGCATATATCTTACTAATGGAAGGCCGTGCATTATTTAAAAATAATGAGTTGGACAAAAACGCTACAACTTACTTTATATTTATATACAGAAACAGGAGTCCGAATTTCCGATCTTGCGGGCCTAACCCGGTTAATTTCCTCTCCTTTTCGCAGGGATGGCCTGGTCCAATCGTTGGACCTCAGCGGCCTGTCCCGGTCAACATTTCATGGGGTATTTCTGGCCCCAAAAAAAAAAAAGGCATTTGGCAGAGATCAAGGTGAAAAAAGGCAACAACCGCCAAAGGAGGGCTCACTTTTTAATTATAATGCAGCTAACAGTCATACATGGAAGTGTCCAAAACTTGCTATTTAGAAATCAACAACCCACTGTAATCCATTTTTCAAATTATCACTCAAAACCTTACGGTGGTTATTTTTTATTTATTTCTCCTCTCAAAAAATTTATAAAAAAATTAAATATATATTAATATATTTTTAACTTTAATATCTATTTTCGTATCAACTAACAAAAGAAAAAAAAGTGTACCTCTAACTCTTCTCCATTAAATTTATATTACTCTAAGTTATAAAAATAATTAACAGGGTACAAAATAATTTTATTTTGAATAATTCTAATTTCTCAAAAAAAAGAGAGAGACAATATTCCTTAAATATTATATTATGATACTAAATTATCTTTGTCACTTAAATTATTTCTTGCAGTTATACTTAAAATTTATATATTTTTATGAATACCTCAAGAGTATATTTCATTGTTATTTTATTTTTAAAATAAAAGTAATTTTTGAATATTTATTAATGATGATTATATTTTATTTAAAATAATTGTGATTTTTTTATTAAAGTAATTAAATAAAAAATAAAATCATGACCGGTGGGTGATTTGCACCCTTATATTTATTTGTTTATTTATTTATTATATTATATAATGATTATAATTTATAAATGTGCTTGTTCTAAGAAGTTGTCCTTTATAATCTTCACGCATATTTAAGATATCCCAAATAAAACATAACCTTCCACGAATGTAGTCCAATGTGATTAAAGCTCTTAAAGATCATAAAAATACATATAAAATTTTAAATATTTTATTATTATTATTATTATTATTATTATTATTATTATTATTATTATTATTATTATTATTATTATTATTATTATTATTATTATTATTATTATTATTATTATTATTATTATTATTATTATTATTATTATTATTATTATTATTATTATTATTATTATTATTATTATTTATTATTGTTATGAGTTTGGAAATTGAATTTGGAGTGAAAGTGAAATCCCTTTTTTTTGTGTGGAGAGGAAGGTTCATAACGCAAACAAATATATGCTATATAATTAGGTCTATTTAACCTGAATTAATCACATAATAATGGAGAGCTTGTGGTCAGTAATTATTATATAATTCAGTATTTTATTGAAAATGCAAATATTTATAGTTATTTGAAGGCAAATATTAAATTTTAAGAGTTTAATAATATTTGTGAAATTTTAATTTTGGCACAAGAACATTAATTTTAAAATAAAGATATATAATTATAACAATTTTAAAAAATTTATATCTAATTTAACAGCTAATTATAAACAACATACAAAGCATAAACATAATTGCTCTTTTTCAAAATAAATAATGAGGAAGACTTCTCATCATTTAAAGAAAAAAAGAAGGATTTCACACAAGTCTCACATATTTACATGTCCAACTTCTACATATTTATTTTTTATATTCATAATCTTTTATTTATCCATGAAAAAGTTAATTATATTCTTTTCTTAGAACTTAATAATAGTAATTTTTGTAATGTGATATCAAAAATTTGAGTGTAATAAATATTAAAAAAATTAAATATTTAGATATATATAATTTATGTTCAATGAATACAAACACCCTTTCAAAAACATATTATTTTCTTCAACTCACAATTATTTCCAACTTGTTAAGCCGTTTGATTTATGAGTTGTAAGAAATAATAATAAAGAATAAAATAAGTAGATAATAGGGAGTTGACATTTATATTTAACAACTCTACAATATGGAAAATAGGGTTGACAAATAGAAATTGAGTAAAGTGTCAAAATAGTTCAGACTTTATTAAAGCTAAACTTTTCAAGGAATTATTTTAAGACTTAATAAAAAATAATAAAAAATTCAACTCAGAAAAAAACTCCAAAAGAAACAAAAAGAATAAATAAATAAATAAATATTTTTTGGATGAAATATGAAATAAAATTCATCTAATTTATCATTAGTGTTGTGCGACACATGTATGACAAGAATGGCGCCAGTTGGATGAAGTCTTCCGGCTATTTGCTGTATTAGATTTCCATTTGTCTAATAAGACCAGAAATCTAAAGCGATCATAAATAAATAAAAAAATATCATATTAAAAGTCTCCCGCTTCCATTCGCATATATATATAGCCATGCAGACATATGTCTGTGATAATTAGAAGAAGAGTACTGAAGTGATGAGGATGGCAGAGCAGAATCAGATGTGTTCACGTTTTAAGCAAAAAGTGGTGAGCTTTACTGAGCTCGGCGTTGTGGAGAGGCATAAACTCATTGATAGTCTTATCAAGAATGTTGGGCAGGATAACAGGCGCCTGCTGGAGAAGATCATGGAAAGAATGGAAAGGTATATATTTAATATTTTCAGGTAGGGGTGTGAACTAAGTGAGCATTAACGAACATAGCTCGTGTTCGCGTTCGGTTTGTTTGAAGTTAATTATGTTTGAAATAGACTCGTGTTTAAAATTGTTCATGTTCAATTTAATTTGTTTGAAATATGTTTGAAATTATTTAATGCTGCAGAGTTGACGTGAAGATGCCAACCATAGAGGTTACATACAAGGATCTTACCGTAGAAGCTCGCTGCAAGGTCGTAAAAGAAAAACAGCTCCCAGATCTTTGGAACACGATTAAGGAAACTTTCAAGGTATTTGCAATCAATTTTTAAACAAATAAAAATGTCAGGAATTGAGGTAAAATGATGCCAACAGAGCTTTTCGCAGGAATTTACAGCAGCAACTGGAAGACCAGGAGAGGTAAATGTAAGCATACTAAGAGATGTGAGTGGCATCATCAAGCCTTCTAGGTAACTAAACCAGAACTTTCAGCCCTTGAGAATTCTATATACTTGCACATTAAAACTTCGGCACTTGCACACTAGGTGTGTAAGTGAGCCTAGTCTTCGTGAGCTTGTGAGCCAGAATTTATAGAGTCACAAGCTTGATCTCGAGTTTAAACCCTAGCTCTTTTATTTAAAAAACCTTGAGTTCAAGCATGTCTGCTCGACACATTGATTCATTGTTTCTGCTCCGGCTCAGCTAGCTCATTGATGATCATGTCCATGCTTTCTCCAGAGAATTGCCGTGCATTTTTTTTTTCCCTTCTGCGTACATGCGAGCCAACTAGCTTGTGGCCAAGCTCACAGTAACTTTTACACAAATACATAATTAATTAAGAGAGTGGGAAATTTCATATATTTGTTAAACTTTATCTTTCTTCTGCCATACAAGACAATTATTTGCAGAAATAATATAATATGTGTTATAAAATATTTCAATAAGTAACATAATTTAGAGTCATTTCAGGATGACCCTTTTGCTTGGACCTCCAGGATGTGGAAAAACAACATTGTTGTCATCTCTAGCAGGGAAGCTTAATCAATCTCTCAAGGTATTTAGTTGATTTAATTAGTTAAGTTATAATTTACTTAAACATTGCATTTATGATTAACTTTCTCATCAATATTACAAAAACAAAACTTTGCATCATGATAAGATTAAATAATCTGAGATAAATTGATATTTCATCTTAACAAAATTGGAAAATGGACTCATAACTAAGTTGTGTCCTAAAAAACTCTAAAGCTCAAAATATCATTATCTTTATGACAACGAGGAAAAAATATTACATTAGGCGATAGGTTAGATCACACCACCCCGCTTGAAAAGAGGTGTGTAGTGATCCAGGCCGTCGTCCGAATGTAATATTCTCTCCAGTTTGAGAGTGATGGTTCAAAAAAATCCAAAATGTATGACCAATAGTTGTTCTCTAATTTAGAGACAACATAACTGATTGAAAACAATCCATTAAATAAGCCCGACAAAGTTATGTAGATAATTTGACAGAAATTATAATAATCAAATGAGGGAATAGAAAAAAAAGGAAACTTTTTCGACAATGGGGGGTGTGCAGGTGGGGCTGTTCAAACGGCTCGTTGTTCGTGAACAGCTTGTGTTCGGCTTGTTTGTTAAGTTTAACGAGCCGAACACAAGCAAATTTTTATGCTCAAAATGTAAACGAGCCGAACACGAACAAATATTTGTCTGCTTGTGTTCGGCTCGAATTGTCTCGAAAAAAATAAATAAAATAATAAATAAATAAAAATATAAATATACTCAACATTCCACGGTGTTATCGCCATTATTCCGCGGTGTTACACCACAGAATATTGAGTATAAAATATTATGTATATTATATAAAGTAAAAAAAATTATATCTATGTTCGTACACTATTGTTATAAGTTTTCTCGTTAGAAAATTTATAATAATTGTTCATAATAGTGAAACGATGTATATTAAATAGTACACTCATATAACTTTATAAACCTCTTTATACTGGTTTTAGCTTTACTTTGTTCATTTACAACTCAAGATATAAAACATAGAATAAGTAAATTAGAGCTATAAACAAATTGGTGCACTCAATAAATATAAGAAGATAAATGTATATTTAATGATAATTTAATTACTTATATGAAGATTTCTTATGCATTCAAGTATCAATTTTCTTAGCATATGTATGTTATTTTGAAGTAAAAGTACAATAACAAAATCAAACAAACAACTAGATGAATAAATTATAAACATTTTAATAATAAGTTGTATGTCACCAAATGATATAAATAATACTAATAAACATATACATTTAAATCAACAACATAAAAAAATATATTAAATTACAACCTGAACTTGATAAGAAAACTCATAAATAGGTTTAAACAATATTTTGATGGGAATGTACGAATGTAGCAAACAATTTTTATGTATTTACATATCTCATATTTAATAACACCAATAACACCGCAAAATAACAACGATAACACCAATAACACCGCAGAATAACAACGATAACACCAATAACACCGCGAAATAACACCAATAATACGAGAATAATACTTCGCAGTAGCATTCTCCTATTATTGGTGTTATTCCACAAAATTATCTCGAGGTTTTTCCAGGTTTTTGTTCTATAATACCATAATAACACCCTAATAACACCAACAACACCGTGGAACGACATCCGATAACACAACAATAACATCCGAGCAACACCTGCAACAACAACTAAGTAACACTCGTGCTATTTGGGTGTTACTTGGTGTTATTGCGAGTATTTCTCGGGTGTTATCGTCGTGTTATGAGTGTTACTCTGCCGTCCGCAGTATTATTGGCAAGATTATGCGGCATTTTATATTCTACCGAGCCTATTTTGAGCCGAATATGAGTCAGACACGAACATTAATATGTTATTCAAGCCGAACACGAACACATTATTCACGAGTCATTTCGAACACGAGCCAAATTGGAATGAGCCGAACACGAGTTGAGGTTCATCTTGCTCAAGCTTGGCTTGTTTACAGCCCTATGTGCAGGTACTAGTAGAATTTTAGGAGCATTTATATACATACCATCCAAATCCTATTTAATACATATTTAACACCTAAAATTATAGCAGACAAGCAAACAGTAAAACAAAATGTCAGATCACTAGTTAAAGAATTTGTATGATCAAAGACGTAAAATAAGCTCCTCATGTTTTTTAAATGTCCGCAAATGCAAGTTGCAGGGGATATTACCTACAATGGTTCTAAACTAGATGGAATAAAGCTAGCAAAAACCACAGCTTACATTAGCCAACACGACTTGCATATTCCTCAAATGACAGTTAGGGAAACTCTGGACTTCTCAGCAAGATATCAAGGCGTAGGGGACAGAGCAAGTAAATGGCATAATTGCTGCATAATGCCTCCAAATTAAGTTTCAGGGCTTGTTTGAGATCACTATTGTTTTTGTTCCTATTTTAAAAACATATTTGTTTAATAAACTTTTTTTATATTTAAAAAAAATTAACATATTTTTAAAATACTCAAAAACATCTAAAAGTTGTTTAAAGAGTTTTAAAAATAAGTTATTTCATACCGAAAAATAATGCTTTATTTTAAATCAATAGATTTGGAATTGCTCCCACTAAACTTGTTCATGGTGGCTAAGGTATCATGGCAGAAGTGGTAAGAAAAGAGAAGAAGGCAGGCATTGCTCCAGATCCAATGATAGACACCTACATGAAGGTAAGTTGAACATTTTATGATTAACTAAAGAGTAGCATGGATTAAAATATAGAATGAAAATCAAAATTAATGATAACTTACTAATTCAATTTTCAATGTCTTCTAATAAACAAAACTTATATAATATGTTAAAACAAAATCAACAGTATTTATAATATATTTATAGAAAAATCTACCCTATTCATTAAAATTTCTTTCACCGTAAACAAGCTTTCATCAATCAAGTTCAACGACCTTTGCTATTGCAGGCAATTTCTGTCCAGGGACAAACAAACGTACAAACGGACTACATGTTGAAGGTAATAAAAAAAAACACCAGAACTACCATGCTTAAAGTGTTTGTAGCTCCAAAACATCTATTTATTTCAGTATCTATGCTTATTTCCTATGAACAACTGATCTTTGAAGATACCAGTACTTCAAAGAGGGGCAGGGCAATTTGATATCTTCTCATTATGTTTTTGTTTCAATAATTTTTGTTGAAATACAGATCCTTGGTCTAGAGTCCTGCTCGGAGACAATGGTTGGAGATGCCATGAATAGGGGTATATCTGGTGGACCAAAAAAAAGATTAACAATAGGTTGAATCATTCATCTAACCAAACTTGTTCTCACAAATTTCAGTTCTACAAATATTGGTTTTAGGAATGACCTTGAATCTATACAAACAGAAAATGCATCGGTTTCCAAATATTACAAAATGCTAATTTTATGTTTTAGGTGAGATGATGATTGGGCCAGCCAGAGCATTTTTCATGGATGAAATATCAAATGGCCTAGACAGTTCCACAACACTTGAGATACTTTCATGCATCCAACAATTTGTCCATATTACAGCTGCAACTGCATTAATTTCTCTTCTTCAACCAGCACCAGAGACTTTCGAACTTTTTGATGACATTATTTTGATCGCGGAAGGGAAAATAATATATCAAGGGCCGCGGGAGCTAATACTTGATTTCTTCGAGGATTGTGGCTTCAGATGTCCACAAAAAAAAGGAATTGCTGAGTTCCTTCATGAGGTACACATAGCTTGATTAGGAAAACAATTTTGAAAATTCTAATTGAATTTTTCTTTTGCATTACTGCAGGTCATTTCAGAAAAGGATCAAGAACAATATTGGCACCAAAAAGAAATGGCTTACAGCTTCATCACTGCAGATGAGTTCTCAATGAAATTCAAGTCCAGCAATATTGGAATGGAGTTACAAGAACAACTCGCAAAAAAACATCAAAATCATGATTCTGATACAAAATTTGCAACGTTTAGCACGAGGTCTACTAAAAAATGGGAATTGCTTGGAACTTGTATGGCTCGAGAACTTCTTATAATGAAGAGAAATTCATTTGTTCACATGTTTAAAACAGCTCAGGTGCTTATTTGACACATTTAAACATCAATTAACAAAGAAGGATAACAGAAAGTTGATAATCATTATTTTTTCTCCAGCTTATAATTCTTGCTTTTATAACTATCACCGTCTTTCTACGCACGCAAATGACTGTAGATTTAGTACATGCGAGCTACTATGTTGGTTCACTGCGCTACACCATCATCAGGATTATGACTAATGGAATTGCAGAATTAACATTGTCTATTGTCAGTTTACCCATCTTTTACAAACAAAGAGATTTGCATTTCTATCCTGCATGGGCATATGCAATGCCAGCAGCTATCCTAAAGATACCCTTTTCTCTGGTGGAATCTTTCATTTGGACAGGAATAACTTATTATGCTATTGGATACACTCCTGAGATACAAAGGTGAGCGTTTAGTCCTCCTTCATAATGATTTTTTGATAAAATCAATCTTATTCTCTTAATTTACTCTATGAAATATGCTTGACAGGTTTTTCTATCATTTCTTTTTACTCTTTGTGCTGCATCAAGCATCAACTTCCCTTTTTCGTTCTATAGCCTCAATTACTAGAATTCACCATAAAGCGATGTGCTCAGGCTCTCTGGCAATGGTGACATCAATTCTGTTCGGGGGCTACATTCTTCCACAATGTAATTTCATGGCTCAAATTTCTTTATAAATTAAAGCTTATTGGATAACCATATCATGGAGCCAAAAAGGCATAGCTTACACTAAGTTTGGAATGAGCAATGTGATAACTTAGCTATTAAAAAATGGGTGGCTACACTTTTTCATTGCTATGTTATGAGTCACAATTTGCCTTATAAGTGGATCCAAATGAAGCCGAAGTATAACTTCTTCATGAGATTTAACCCTAAAACTTCTATTGCAGCCTCACTCCCAACGTGGTTGCAGTGGACCTTTTGGCTCTCACCAACAACATATGCAGAAATAGGGCTATCTATTAATGAGTTTAGGGCACCAAGATGGCAAAAGGTAAGTCATAGTGAGTTCCCTTTTGTATCTCCAAGGGAAGACAATTCATCGTAATAGTTAGCTTTTGGTTTTTTTAAGGGAAATTTACATACAAAGCACAAAATTCTCATCTATTTACATATCTCACACCTAAACTTCCATATTTACATATATAGCATTTCATTGCTTTAAACCTATGCATAAAAAGATGTATTTCACTATTAAAAAGTGATAATAATGCTATTTTTATGTCATATTAAAGAATTGAGTGTTATGTGTGTAAATATGAAACTTTAGGTGAGAGATATGTAAATACATAAGAATTGGGCTAGGTATGCAAATTTCCCTTTTTTTAATTCATCTTTAATGTCCTCAATCTACTTTCGCTAACAGTTGTTGCCAGAAAATGAGATGATGGGTCAGCAAGTCTTGAAAAGCCAAGGTCTAAACTACAAAGGATTATTCTGTTGGCTATCACTAGGAGCATTGTGCATTCTGACATTAGTTTTTAACTTTTGTTATACCATAGCACTGAGTTACTTACATAGTATGTTCTACTCCTATAACTTGATAGAGTTATGAGCCACTAAAATAGGAAATTGACACCTCATGCTATTTAGATCCAGGAACTTCTAAAACTATTACGTCAAATCATCAGCTTAGATCACAAAGGGATGAAAAAGGATCTAACTTCTGCAGCAAATTAGAGCAAAAATCAACTAAGTGTTCTAAATCAGATGTTAGACAAATAAAAGGTGATAAACAATTTTCAAAAGCTAAAATTGATATAACTAATGCAAGGAATGTTGATGAGTATAACCTCTAATCACATTTGTGCTTTATATTTGTTGCAGGAAGGATGGTCATACCATTTAATCCATTAACCATGACGTTTCAAAATGTAAATTACTACATTGATGCACCAAAGGTACTCTTAAGCTTTCATCATCTCTTCTACAGTGCCTACATAGAGCTACAAACTCAAATAATTGATTACATAAAAAATAATCAAGTTAATGAATATGCTTCCTATTTTTCATTCAATCACTGTTGTATAACAGGAAGTGACAGAACGTGGATCTTCAGAGAAAAGGCTGCAACTTCTCCAAAATATTACAGGTGCATTAAGGCCTGGCATCCTTACAGCTCTGATGGGAGTTAGTGGAGCGGGAAAAACAACATTAATGGATGTTCTTTGTGGAAGAAAAACAAGTGGCATTATTGAAGGAGATATAAGAATTGAGGGATACCCCAAAGTACAAGCAACATTTGCAAGGGTGTCAGGATATTGTGAACAAAATGACGTACACTCTTCACAAATTACCATTGCCGAGTCAGTTATGTTTTCAGCCTGGTTAAGACTTCCAGAGGAGATAGATCGAGAAACTAAAGCAGTAAGGCAATCCAACTCATTGTGAATCTTATAAATCTAATGATAACATAAAGTAAACGAGAAAGTGTCAAACTAATCCCCTGATTTTTTGCAGGGGATTATTGTAGCACCAGAAGGTGTCAGTTTAGTCCCTAAAAATGTCCCCACTAATGCTTATTTTAGCCCTAATTTAAAGAGTCTAGTAAATAATTTGACACTTCTATAAACTTATGGACTACAATGACTCCATGTAAACACTCAAGAGACCATGCTGACTCCTTAAAGTATACATTTTAGAAGGGCTTTTAAATGCTTTATAAACAAATAAGTCAAGATATACAGCCCAACCCTGCATAAACAATGGCTATTCACCATATACTATTACCAAAATGGCGATATCTATTGTGAGTAGTTCCAAAGGAATGCATCATCACAATTTGCCATATGGATTAAAGTGTCAAAGTAGGCACTGACTATTTACATGGGGATATTTTAGTCTCAGTGTACATAAAAGTGCCAAATCAGTCCACATACTTTTTAAAATGAGCTGAAATAATCCTCAAGGAGAACTATTTTAGCCCTTCCTAAAAGAGTCAGAGGACTAAAATGAACCCAGACAAAAAGTTAGGAGATTATTTTGACACTTCGCTCTTGCCACATATATAGCAACATTGTGGTAAATGCATCGACTAAAATTCGATGTCCTTTAAAGCTTGCCTGAAAAAATCTTTCATGATCAAATAGAGTTCAGAGAATTTTTCTTTCCACAGGATTTTGTTGAGCTTGTCCTCGAAGCAGTTGAGTTGAAGAAAATTCGGAATGAATTAGTTGGAATTCCCAGCATAAGTGGTTTATCCACAGAACAAAGGAAGCGACTAACAATTGCTGTGGAACTAGTAGCAAATCCATCTATTATATTCATGGATGAACCAACATCAGGTCTGGATGCAAGAGCAGCAGCCATTGTTATGCGTGCAGTCAAAAGTATCGTAGACATGGGAAGAACAGCAGTTTGTACAATCCACCAGCCAAGTATTGGCATATTTGAGTCGTTTGATGAGGTAAGTCATAATTTTTAAGAAGAATATTAAGTATTCAAAGCTTGTGTACTAACATAGTAATTCACAAATATATTGGGTTGAGAAATATCTATTCCTGCACGGAAAAATGATATCCTTTTAGCGTCAACTTCTATAAAAAAAAGTAGACTATAAATGACTGAAAGAAGTATGTTATGGATATGAGCCGTTAAAAACCAATATAACTTAATATACAATCTAGTAAATATCTACAATAACAATTGTAATACTTATTACCCAAACCCAGCGAGAATCCACATCCTTCTATCAAATTCATTCATTCCTATCACAATCATCTCGTCCGGATGCACTAAGGGGTCCAAAAGGAAATCCAAGTTTCCTTCCTTACTATGGAACCGTCTCGATGATGTCCTTCAACCTGATGCTATTGATTCAAAATCTTTTATTTAATTATTATTATTAGGGGCAACTACATACATACCACACAATTCTTACATATTTACATGTCTAGCACCTAAACTCTTATTATTACATGCATATCACTCTAGTCTTTAACATCACATTTTAAATAACATCATCATTATCCTTTTAAAAGTGAAATGCACATTTTCAAGCTTCGGTTTATGACACCAAAGTGATAAAAGTGTAAATATCAAACTTTGGGTGTTAAATATTTTGTGAAAAACGACGACAATAAAGTGAAAAGTGAAACGAGAAAAATTGCACGCAGAAAAAAAATATCAAATAAAAACGCTAAAACGACACACAGATTTACGTGGTTCGACAAATTTGCCTACGTCCACGTAGTTGCAGAAGATTTTACTACTTCGAGGAATTACACCGTCGGGCGCCTCGACGTTTACTAGAAAATCTCTATTTTCTTCTCTCTCTTCCCCCTCTCTCTCTCTCTTCTTCTCTTTCTCTTAGCTCTCAAGAGAACTTGGTTTGACCTTGTTTGGCTTGTCTTTGCTTGGCATGGCTTCTCCTTTAAGCCAAAATAGGCTATTTATAGAAACCATGAGAGCTTTAGGTGGATGGTAGGTGAGCGGTAGATGGGATGTGGTATGTGAGCGGTATGTGAGAAAGTAGGTGAGCGGTAGGTGAGATACTTAATGAGGAAGCTAATTAAATTACGGTGGACCGGGTCTCTATATTACCTAACAAGATACTTAAATACATAAAACTTGTGTGCATGTATGTAAATTTATGTTGTTATTATTATTATTACTATTCAGTTATAATGCCCTCTTGTATGATCTACTGAAAATTTTATGAACCCAATGTTGCTTTTGGTTGGCTAGCACATGGCCAACATTAAAGACCAAAATCCCAACTTCATCACAAGATTCCAATGAAAATAGAAATCAAATAAAATTGGACAAAAAATTGTCGGTATTTTAAATCTTATTATTAAGACTAACAATTATTTATTAATTATACATGAATTGTACCATTTTAAGATTATTCGCCTTTAATACATTAGATTTTAGGATGCATCTTATCTTATTTTGACAAAACCCGATTTCCACATGCATAGGTGAAAAAGTAAGATAATTCTTCGTCACAGTATGAATTTAATTGAAATTAATGATCTCTTTCAGCTTGACTGCATCTTCTTTGTTTCCTTTCACCATTATGCTATACATAAATAATTCTCAAGATAACCCAAAATTCCCAAAATTTCGAGAGACTCCTTGTAATTCCTTGACATTTATTCTTTCCCATGATTTCTCCTCTGAAAGTTCTTCTTGAATCAACCAATAATCTTACTGTATAATAAGTTTCCTAAAGACACAAACAACTTCTATTTATTCAATCTTGATAAAATAAGTACAGAAGTAAATTCTTCGGTACATTGACACTCATGACAAGGTCCAAGAAATTGGTCCACTAATATACAAAATAATTTTAAAAGAATTTCATTTATAATTCACCCCTCACCAGTTCATTATAAAATTAATCCTTGTTTAATATATATGCACAAATTTCGAGTATAAAACATGACCTTGAAAATACTTGACGCAAGAATTTTTAAAATACAATGCTATTAGTCTCCCACAAGTAATTACCAAGCTTTCAAGAGCAAACTTGAAATTGCAAGAAGTTACAAACAAAACAGTTTAGTCAATAAAAAGTCTGGTGCGCAAGAATGTTCAATTAAATATAAAGAAATAAATGTCAACTGAAACTTATGTCTTTTATATATATCAAAATTATGATTTCTTATTTTATCATCTTTTGGATACTATGTGCACCCCAATATTAATCTTTGGCTTGACTTTTGCAGTTAATTTTGATGAAAAAAGGAGGTCGGATGATCTATTCGGGACCAATAGGTCAAAATTCACAGAAAATCATTGACTATTTTGAGGTACAATTCCAACTGTATAGTTAATATGAAGAGCACCATTGTTGCATTTGTTGATATGAGAATTCATCCGGATCAAAACAATTTATTGAAATACTATGTTTTGTCCCAGCAATGATTATAAGCTTAAGCGGTATTTAATTTAGTCAAAATTCTTCCATAAAAAATGTAAAATGTTTAATATAGTTAGCAGGAAATCTTCTTGACAGCAAAGTAAACGAAGATCACAAAAGAAAAATGAATACATAATAGGAAATAAAACATAGATACTAAAAGAATACACAGCAAAAGGAATAAAATATGGTAAGAGATGATCTACTATTCCCATGGCATATGACTGGTAGTGGCATTGGTGCAGATTATTTTACAGACATTTTAGCTTGGCAAAAAAGGAAAAAAATATAAAAAAAGATTAAATAAGGTTTTGAAGGAGAAACTGTAGAATAAAATGTTTATATTAGCAAAGCAGACAATAAAGCAGTAATACTTTCATTGAATATGAATATAGTTGAGGAGAATTTTCAAGATTGTGGTTTCTTAGCAAGCATCTTTATTAATTTCGATTACTCGTAGAGTATCAAATATCCTTCATGATTCAAAACCTAGACAATTTAGAACAGTGAACAGGTTCAAGGGCAGTAATATCTATGAGTTCTCTGTATAAATACTAAAATTCTAAGGAAGTATGATTAGCATCTATGGTTCAAACATCATGGCAAGATAAAACATTATAATTAGGACAGAGCAACCGAGCAAGTAAGCCATAATGCATACAATTTACAAAAATGAATAGACTCAAATCCAAAACTAGACTAAATTTATCTTCATATTTCCTCATTCTTTGTCTGGATTAATTGGTTGCATATAAAATGCAATAGAAAATAAAGATTGGCGATGAATCCAAATGAAGTTGAAGAAATTGGGTGTTAATATAAAAATGCACATACAACAAGAGAGCAAATGGAAGTTAAATGCTCTCAAGCATGCTATAAAGCTAATTGATACACAATAGAGTATTGGATTTAGGCTCATATCTAATAGGAAAAAAATATCTTGATATGAAAACAAGCTACCTTTTAATTTAACTTTTGAGTTGAAAAAATAGTATATCTATTCTAGCTTTGACTCACAAGTCTTCCCTCACAAATGGTATCAAAATAGATGATTTGGTTGTGAATGAGTGGTTCATGTAATTTGTAGTTTCATTGAGCCTTTGCAATTTTCTACTATAGGTGAACAAACTTTAAGAGTAACTCCTAAAGTCGATACATGAGTGAACTGTTGGTGCATAATACCTGATAGTGTTAAAAAACTTTTGATTGAGGGGTACTAAAAATCGATACAAAGAGTTCATTTGTCACAGAGAGATTGTAAAGGTATGATAGAGTACTAGGTTTTGTACCTCATTGGACAATTAAATATAATAATATAGAAATACTAAAAATAGTTAAACCATCACCCATAGACAAGCATTTGGGTTATAAAATATTTTTGATCACTAGTAAATCAGGCCCAACTTCAATCTCCATTGGTTCATACACTCTTACAAACAATAAAAACAAGAATAGATAACTGCTCGTGTTTGGATCCCTTCACGAACAATCTATGCTTACTTTTATTTTTTATCTTTTATTTGAAAATTCAATTTATCTTGATGTAATACAAGACAAAGACAATTAAAGTATTCTATTTTTTGTTTGAAAATTCAATTTATCTTGATGTAATACAAGACAAAGACAATCGACACTTACTCTTTTTATATCATAAATTAAACAATCTCTATGGATCCCTTCACTTTTTGAAATTTAATATTATTATAATAATTATTATATTTTCTTTATTGATCTTAATATTTTGTTTATTTAATTTTTATATAATTTATAACATGCCACTCAATTCTTATGTATTTATATATCTAATGCCTAAACTTCAAATTTTACTTATATACCATCCTATCTATGTATAAAAGGTGCATTTCACTATTTAAAAGTTAAAATAATAGTATTTTAGAAGTGATATGAAAAATTTGGACGATATAAATGTAAAAGAAAATAAAGTCTGGGTGTTAGATATGTGAAGACGTAAGAATTGTGTGGTATATATGTAAATACTCCTACATATAATAATGTCTTCTCGGACCCGTATTCGTGTGTTATACTTTTAATAATAGAAATGTTGTGTGTGTGCCCATGCCATATCGTGTTTGTGTCCCTTTGACTGTTTCCATTCATCATAGTTCACATCAATGATGTCCAAAACACAATGGAGGCAACCTAGTCTTTATTCCATTCCCTCTTGATAATCTAAGGAGAGTTACGGATTATTCTAAATAAAAGGAAGGTTCCAATTAACATGCTTTGTTTGCCGAACATAATTTAAGGTGTGATTTGGTGTGGACATCATTAAAATTATTATCTTAAAGATAATACAGTTTCTTAACATCATCCTTATTGTTTTACAGAGAATTCCAGGTGTCCCAAAAATTAGAGAAAACTATAACCCAGCCACATGGATGCTTGAGATTACTTCAGAAGTTGCTGAAGAAAAGATTGGCATAGATTTTGCTCGTGTTTACACAGATTCATCTGCATATTGGTCTGACCCACTTCTTCTTTGCTATACCCTTCATTGAAAGACTTATATTTAGACAATAGGGGCATTTACATACACAACACACAATTCTTATGTATTTACATATTTATCACCTTAAATTTCATATTTACATTTATAATACTCAAAAGTTTAACATCACATAAAAAAAACCATCACTAATAAATTTTTAAAAGTGAAGTACTCCATTTCATGCATAGGTTTCTAACACCAAAGAATTGTAAGTGTAAATATTAAAATTTAGATGTTATATATGTAAATACAAAAGAATTGTGTGGTATGATGTAAGTTTCCGTAGACAATAATGAAAGAAAATTGAGCTTCTAAATTCTGTGTTTTGCTCAGGGATAACAAAAAACTAGTTGAGCAGCTGAGTATCCCACCACGAGGTTCAAGTGATCTTTATGGCGTTGCATCACTATCACAAACCAGATGGCTACAATTTAAGTTATGTCTTTGGAAGCTATCATTGTCCTATTGGAGAAGCTCAACCTATAACCTGGTGCGCCTCATATTTTTGCTACTTATATCGGTTCTATTTGCAGCACTCTTTTGGCAGAAAGGGAAGAAAATGTAAGTTCATTTTTCTTCTTTACTTTGATTTCAAAGTCAAAATCATTGTATTAATGTATAATCTGTGAAACCCCCTAAGTAGAATGAAGCTAAACTCTTAAACATCAAGACAACTTTTGGTTTAACAGTTAGAATTTCATCAGCTGGGAAGTTACACTAATTGAACAAAACCGTGAGACCATTAGGCCAAAGCGAATAATATCTTAATAGACGAGAGTTCAAGTTATTATTTTAACTTCAATTGCTGTAGAAGAATTCAGTAAATCTCACGTTTACTTGAACACTCTTTTTGGTGGCAGAACAAATGAGCAGGACTTGTTGAGCATAATGGGATCAATGCACCTAGCCATGCTATTCTTGGGCATGAATAATTGCAACTCAGTTTTACAAATTATAGCTAGAGAGCGTGCTGTTTTGTATAGAGAACTGTCTGCTGGAGCTTACTCTTCTTTCATGTACTCTCTCGCACAGGTAGAATAAACTGCATACAATTTGATGTCTAAAAACATGAATTTGAATAAGAAAAGAGCAAACTACTCATCTAAAATTTTCACACAGATATGTTTCTTCTGAATCTTTTCGTGTTGTAATTTGAGTTGCAGGTAACAGTGGAAATTCCTTGTTTATTCATCCTTGCAACAATACACGTAATTATTACTTATCCAGCAGTGGGTTACTACTGGTCTGCTTCAAAGATGATGTGGTATTACTACATAGTTTTCTGCACGCTTCTTTGCTTTAATTACCTGGGAATGTTTATCATGTCAATAAGTTCAAATATTCAAGTAGCTTCAATTGCGGCAGCCGCAATTTACACAATTTTCAATCTATTCTCCGGATTCTTGGTACCCAAACCGGTAAGCAAAAATCTACACAAATGTGTTTGTTGATTAGTCTGCCATGCTTTCCAACCCAAACTTTATCTTTGGGGCATTTACATACATAACAAGTAGCACACAATTCATATGTTTTACATCTCTAACACCTAAACTTTCATATTTACATATTAGCACTCTTTTAAAGCTTTAACATCACTTCAAAAATATCACTATAACCACTATGTATATAAATATGAAAGTTCAGGTAAAATACAAAAGAATGGTGTGCTATGTATATAAATTTTCCTATAATATTTTTAGCTAACACAAATCAAGGTCTTTGCCCAACAACCAATTCTCTTAGCTCATATTACCAAGATCAAAATGTTATCTGAATTTCTTTTTAGATTGCATTTTAACCATTGCCTTTATTATCTAATCAACAAAGCATCATTTTGCCTTAAGGAAGTTCATTCTCCTCTACTTTCCTAGCTAAACATCATGTGCACTCAATAAAATTAAGGGGCATTTACATAAATACCATACAATTCTTATGTATTTACATATCTAACACTTATACTTTCATTTTTACAAGTATAACACCCAAACATTTAACATAACAAAAAATATCACTTTTACATACTTTTTAAAAGTGAAATATATCTTTTTCATGCATAAATTTATGACACCAAAATGTTATGAATATAAATACTTTTGTATTTGCAGCTTATTCCGATATGGTGGAAATGGCTATATTATATTTGCCCACTACCATGGTCATTAAATGGTTTGCTTACTTCACAATATGGAGATCTCAACAAGGAAATGATGGCATTTGGGAAAACCACAACAGTTGATGCATTCGTGGGAAATTATTATGGATTTCATCACAACCAACTGAGCATAGTGGCCTTAACAATGGCTTATTATCCTCTTGTTCTTGCCAGTCTTTTCTCATTTTGTATATGGAAAATAAATTTTCAAAGAAGATAATGTAGGCTTATTAGTGTGATGTTTAGGGGAGAAGTCGTGCTCATAGAGAAGGGAACACCCATGTAAGCTAGCTTGCAAATCATACATTAGTTGAGGGCAGTATATCTCTGTAAATGTGTTTAAAGATTATTATCATGATATTTATGTAATCAAGTTATATCTTATGTGCTTTCATATATAATAAAAATTGGAAAATTTGATACGCAATCGCTACCCACAATTCTAATTTATGGTTAACATGTCTTAGATGGTTTGGTCATATTAAACATCAACCAACTGATGACCCAGTTAGGAAACTAGATGTTTTAAATTCAAATTATGTTAAGAAAGGTAGAAGTTGGCCTAAAAAATTTGGGGATGATGTATAAAAAATGATTTTATCTTATTAGAATTAAATGAAAATATGATACTCAATGGGATACAATGGAGAAAAAAGATTCATGTAGGCTTTTTATTGTTGTTGTTGTTGTTGTTGTTGTTGTTGTGGTTAACATGTCAATATAAATGATTTTTAAAGCAAAAAAAATTATTATCAATACATGAAAAGAGAAAGACAACAAGCAATTGCAGAAGATTACTAGATGCAAAAGTTAAAAAACCAAATTACACCAACAAACCATACCTCAAAGGCCTCATTTGAAGCATCTTGCTTAAAGTGTAATAAAAATTGGTGAGTAGCAATACATTTTCTTCCTATTTTCGTCCTTCGTGGCTTAAAGAATTTGAAAGTTTTTATCCACTATTTTTTTTTTTTGCACTTGAAATGTTGACATAATTGTAAACAGAAACCAATGGTCATCAGCCGCAGATGCCTCTACGGATTTGGATCAATGCTCATGTGTGAAAGTGAGATATTTATCATCACCATTGAGCTAACATCTAGAGAAGGCTATAAACTCAAGGTAGGATCTGAAATTAATTCTAATTTGGTGCATAAATCAAACCAAAGATAGTCAAAAGTGCAATGACTACATTAAGATGTTGATTTTGAGTATGTTTGGGGCAGCTGCAGTTGTTTGAAGAAACAACTGTGAAGCTGGTTAAGAAGAAATTATTGTTTAAAAAGTTACGAAGGCTATTACAATTTTTTTTTTAAAAAGTCAGAACGCAGCTTTCTAACAGTCACTACAGATAGTCAAGAGTGGTAGGAAAATGCAGCTTTTAGCTGCAACTTTTCAAGAACATAGTCAAAATTTAATTTTGTCTAACAGAAAAAAAACTACGACGTGGCCGCCCCAAACGCACATTAATTGAATACCTCTCACCATCCTTATTGTTAGATATCTACAATTTTAGGAGATCCTTAAAGCATAAATAGTGCAAAGATTAAAAAAATAAGTATTTTCAAATATTCATAAAATCCTAATTTCATTAATCAACAAAAATTAAATTCAACAAGGATTAGTGTATTCCAAATAGATCAGCAACAAATCATCCTAAATATACTTTACTTTATTGGTTCACCATTCCAAGAAATCTACATTTATACGTCTTTCTTTCACTTGAAAATATCTCCTTGTGTAAAGCAATATTCCTTCTGATAATTCCTTTATTCCAAAAATAATGATTCATTTTATCCCTCTTCATTGAAGGCCACTAATCAAATAATATAGTTACCTTTCATGGCGATCTTTCATCAAAAAAGATATACCCATTTTTCCTACAAGTTTTGGAGGCACCAACTCCCTTGAAGTAGTTGAAATGTCTAATCAGATCCTTCGACTTCCTATAAAGTGTGAGTTGAAGGTTTCGCATCAATGTCAACTAAAATCTTTATGAACTTACCATTGTCCTTAAAGCCCCCACAACTTGTAATGATTCTAGAGATCCAACAAGACGAAAAAGAAGAAGAAGAAGAACAAGAAGGAACGGGGGTAAAAAATGGGCCCTTAGGCCCCTTACAAGGGTGTTAAGTTCAAATTGACACAAGCTAATATGAAAAGGAAAGATTACTAAACAAGAAATGTTTAGTGATTGTACTTCAAGACATACTAGGGAGACAAATTTGTTATGAAGGTTGGGTCATTATGTTAAAGACCAATCTTTTAAGAAGGCCAAGTTTGATAATTTCTTCGTAGAATGCACCGCTTTTTTGCAGAATCAAAAGGCCCCTCAGCCTCTGGAAGCTTAAGATGTCGTTGAACCTGTAGCTCATCTTCAACACTCCCTCATTCCGACGTTGTGTGCCCTAAGGAATCCATTCCCTTAGGGTATCAATAGATTATCAAATGTTAATGATAAATATAAGGGCATGCTACCCCCTACCCTAAACAAAAAAAAACTAAAATCAATATGCATACATCAGAAAACTTAATTGTAAATTTTCAAATAAAAAATGCCGATTATTGAATACAAAATTGAATACAGATCTTAATGATTAAACCTATTTTAATTAAAAAAAAACTCATTCTAAACATATCAAAACAAATTGACTATATCACACTCAAGCCAAAAACAAATCCAAATATTTTTTAAATACCTAAACCCTAAAACAAAATTTTTCTTCATAATTAAATGGGAGCTTTCTTGACTAAAAGACATGAAGAAACCAACAGAACTCCAACTGAACAGTCCTTGTTCTCTAAAATCAATACAAAAGAAGACTTCCAATGTTCAAATGACAAAAACACTTTACACACATTAAATAGATATAGTCACATAATCATGCAATTAATCAACAGAAATCATCCATCCAACCGAACTTTTAACTGTTACAGTTAGTGCTGAAACCATACACAAACTCAAATATACCCACTCTCTAATAACTCCCACCTGAAGGGAGGATATACAAACATAACTTCAGGAGGGCCTTTGAACAGCAATCCTACACAAACGCAGACTGCAGCAATTCCTACCATAGATAGTAGCATTGGACGATACAGCAGAGACCCTCTGACCGAGCTTCTGCACGCCAGATGCTGTTCGCAGAGCTTACAGAATGGAGGCTCTGATTGTTTTGATTTGGTATTGTAAATCCCGAGGCTATGTAGTTTAGCGGGCTTCAATCCTTCTGATTGTCTGTAGATTGCATCGGATGGCAATGATAATTTACAGGGCATGTTAACGACCACGTCGCATTTTTCAGTAATTTTGTTGATCTTCTTCTGCAACAGAAGTATGTAGGATTCGTGACCTCGGGCTCGCGCGTAGTCTTCGGGAGTGAAACCGGTTGCATCGCGGGCGTTAGTCCATGCTTTAACTCCAAACTAGCATTCAAAAAATCAATCATTAGCATGTTTTCATCAATATTTTATATCGCACGCCTAAACCTTAATTTTTTTACAGCACCCAAATCATTCGTATCACAACAAAAATATCACTATTTTAACTATATAAAAAATAAAATATTATCATGCATATATAAGGTGGCATTTATGTAAAAATTGAACGTTAGGAGTTAGATATATTATGCATGTAAATCTCCCTATTCTATAATATTAAAATATTCAGTATCTGACATATCTAGTACTGTACAAGTGCAAAACACCTGTCTTACTGTATACACTGTCAATACATCTGATAAAAAAAAATTGAATAAATAAAGGGGTTTTTATATACATATCAAGCAAAACATTGTTATTTATAAAATTGAATATTATAAAATTCGCACATCCGTTAACTCTTCCTGTCTCGAACCTCCTCTCCTACGGCGACACTGCCATAAATACAAAGAACTATGAAAATTCCAACTTTCTCCACCAAAATTCCCGTAAACTGCCGGTATTTTGAAAACCACTGGATCCCAACAGATATATTCTACTTAGAGACTTGGAGAATTGAAAATAATACTTTTATCGATACAAAATGTTGACTTAAATATAGCTTATTAGAATTCCAAATTTAGGAAAGAAATAACATCCATATCACCAAAATTATAAACAAATCAAATCAAATAAACTAAAAATAGAAAATCCTATAACTGGTCGAAAATAAAAGGAAATACATAAATAAGAAATAACAGGAAATAAATAAAATCTCAATATAACTTCTAACACCTCCCTCAAGTTGAAGCATAAATGTTCAACTTGGACTTAAAATCATCAAACAATGGAGGAGGAAGCTTCTTTGTGAGAATATCGGCCAGTTGACCAGTAGATAAGACAAACAAAATTCGCATAGTAGTTCAAATCATCCTCCCCGAACGACGATTGTGAAAGACACAAAAATCAGATAAAAAATGAACTAAGCAACCATGATCACATGTTAACTTACCGACCGACAAGAGGTTATATATAAGCAAAGAAATGTGTAACATGGATTCCAAAGTCAAGTCAGCTACTAGTAAAACAAACCATCTAACCACGATAGAATCAAAGGAGTCGTCGATAATTTTAATCGTATCTCACTAAAAGCAAGGAGAATGCACTGAGAAAAAATGAAAACACCCGGATATGTGGCCCGTGGCACCTGAATCGCTCATCAATGGACCCAGAGAAGCAAAATCAACGACAACGATAGGGACGCTACCTTGAAAGACATGAGAAGTCGACGAACCGGCAGAGAACTGACTAGAACCAAGCAACCTAATCAAATGCTCCACCAGCCTCTTAACAAAGTCCGGCGAGTTGGGAATGGTTCAAGTAGGAGCCAATTGAACTGTTGTGAATTCTGATGTCATAGCGAGACCTTAAGCAGCGAAAGATTTGGACAAAAACTTATTCGTCTGTTTCTCGTGGAGCTTCCAACACTTGCCACTGGTATGGTGGGGTTTGTAGCAAAAATCACATATGGAGTGATTGGTTCGAGACGAAATGGTTGAGTTTGAAATATTGTTGGAGACCAAGGTTGACAACTCAGTTGGTGAAGTTGCGTTGTCCAACATGACAAGTTTCTGGCTTTATTAGTGGCAGATCATGGTGAATGATTCTCAGGATTCTCAGATTAAAGGAAGAGGGTCATACGACCACAACTTTCATCAAGATCCTTGTTCAGGCCAGTCGGAACTTGAAACACAGTCCTTTTCCAATATCTTATGAAAGTGGGAAAGGTCTGAAGGAGAGTCCCAAGTGTAGCCATAATAGCAGTCACATTCCATCCATAATGCAACCAAGTCGTATTATTGAGTCACCATCTTTGATCCTTGTTTAACCTCGTGGACTTGATTAGAAACTTCACAAAATTGTCCATAAAAACCTAAAAGTCCGATTAGGTATCGAGAAAGAAAGTCCGGAGGGTACTTGCAGATGAAAGAAATAGGAAGGAACAATCAATAGAGGTTTCCATGAAATTAATTAGCCATGACATAGCCATGAAGTTCTTCATTTCCCACGGAGCATGTGCTGGGCCAGTCTTCAGAGATTCTCGAATCGTACCCGTAAGGATGAATAATAAAATAAATTGAGACCGTTGGGGCAAATTGGAAACATAGTTTACAAGTGGTCATCAGGAAATTCATCTGATGTTCAGGTCTACGGTCTGCGGAGGGATTGGGGTAGATATGGAACCTCCAGTCGAATCAAGAAGGGTGTAGGACGGAAGCTCAAAGTTGGAGAAAACAACCAAGGCTCCAACGGAGCCAAAGGAGAAGATTGGCCGCTGAGGCATGGAAGGAGTTCATCCTTGCATCTAGCAACCTACAGGTAAGATTTTCCAATTGTAGAAGGGAGTTCCGGTCAAAGCAGAGATTGCAACAAGGAATTTCGGCTGCAGGGAGGAGCACTGGCCTTGGAAAAAAACATAAGAAAGATTTCTACTACAGGAAGAAACTGGGAAGAAGGCCTGCGGGAAAAAAGCGACCCGTAGAGAGAAGTTCCAACTATAGGAAGGGGATTTAGCTAGGCACATGGAGAACGACAGGTAGTGTAAAATCTCTTGCTCTGATACCATGTAGGTTTGGAGAATTGACCGGAATATTTTTATTGATACAAAATGTTCGTTTAAATACAACTTAATAGAATTTTAAGTATAAGAAAGAAATAACACCCATACCTCAAAGATTAAAACAAAATCAAATAAAATAAACTAAAAATAGAAACTCCTATAATATCGATAAAGAGAGAGAGAGAGGTTCCAAAAAAACCTTTCCAAGCTAGTTTTGTGGGATTGTACAGTTTAGTTTGTCAAGATCTCAATGGAGGAGTTTAGCTTTTGGTCACTTGAGAGGAAACGGTGACAGTTGGATGTGGTGGAGTTGTGTGAGGTCTGAGACGGAGACAAAAGATTTCGTAGGTAAGAGGGAGGTGTGCACGTAAATGAAAGAAAAACACACAAACTAAAATGAAAGGCTAGGATTTGTAAGAACATAAGAATTGGGAGGTGACAGTTGGATGTAGTGTAATTCACTAGGACCCAAGCTCTGACCGGAGGCATTGACTGGGAAGGAGAAAGTTGGGAGTTTAAAAGATAATCAGGTCAAATTAAAATGAAAGGGTAGGATTCAATATAGGTAGAATCGTAAGCCATTTTTATAATAACAATCAGATATGTCACCTTAGCTATGCATGAAAGAGTG